ATGGACCCCATCCCCATCATTGGTTGCCCAGCAAGTTTCCCTCTCACATGGTGCCCATGTGTTCTTGGAGGACAATCAAACCCAATCGAAGCACCATCCATATTGTGCTGCTGCCTAGAGCATTTGCTCAATGGCTTGTATGGCAAAACAAGTTGCTCAAAGTCAGGATCCCAATCTCTCGTGCCCAGGTGTTGCATCCACCCAACCGCCTTTGGTCTCAAATGGAATTGCACGCATACAGCCACAAGCCCAATGCCAGCTGTTTGATGCACCCAATGCTTCATCTCATCTCATCTCATCTCATTTCATCCACATTGGAAGTTCCATTTTCCTATGCTCTCTAGCTATATGCCCATCTCTCTCTTTCATTGGATATCTTAAGCTCCAAATCAAGACAATCTTCCACACTCCATCATTGAGACCATACAGTATAGGTATCCACCCTCACCACGTAGAGCCTACAGTATATACAAGTGCTTGCAGGAGCAGACAGTTGTGTCTTCAAACAGACGAGGGGAATATAAGAAGTTGTGGTGGAATTGCTACTCCTACACAGGTAGCTATAATGAAATCAATAATCTTGACTATCTCTAGCACCTGGGCCACTTCCAGCTCGTGGAATTGACAATGAGTCCTCAATCTCCAGCAGCCCAGGCCCCAGTTGCTGGAGATTGAGGACTGATTGAGATTGGAGGTCTTGGAGACCAGATCTCCCTCATAGAGGTGATGACCTGATGTTGTATGATGGGATGTCGTGGACTTGCTGATAGATGATGGTTGATGGACTTCTGTGTGGGAATCAATGAGAACTAGTATGTTTGAATCAGATCGATGAGAAATTTGATAGATTACAAGTCGACATTTTTGCTAGACACGTTCTTCAAAACAACTAACATTTTCAAAAAACACAGTAAACCACAAATCACAAAAACGCGTAAAAACCACACCCGCATAACGTCGTTTTCTGAAGCAAAAAGAGGCAGCAAAGTTCTATCTGCACTTTCTTCTGGATGCACCGCCTGACCTTTTTCTTCTTTTTGTTGAGCTGCGATCTCGTTCTGAGAAACAACCATGTGCCAAACCGCTACTACTGATATTATCGAATTATTGCCCAACATCTCATCATATCATATTCAATTATATAGTAGATTTTGTCCATGTGCCTCCACTTGGCTATACTTTCACTTCGCTATACTTTTGTTTTGTAGATTTTCTCAAGGCACTCAAGGCAGGGTGTGGGTATTACTTTTGAAAGTGCACAGGCCCAGCCTCCAGTCATGCCCGGCTTGATTTATTCGGCCACTCCGCTTCGATGGTCCTGCAACGTGCACAAGTGAGCTGATCGAAGAATATAGAAGACAAGTTTTTTGCGTGCACTGAGGGGAGCAACTTTGTACCCGCACACTGGAAGTTGGGAGTTTGGGGAGTTTGTGAGAGTAGGCCTGGATTGCAAGAACCACCGTGATCGAAGATAGTTCACTTGTCGATCTAGTTTGCCGCTTTGAGCTCTGCCTGCATTGCTTGGCTGCCAGGCAAGGAGAGAAGCCCCACGGCCGAACCCACCTGCACCGCCGCCGCAACAAATGTTTGTATCTCAAGGGTCGCAGGGCATGGGCCGCTGGGCCTAACGTGCCAAGAGTAGTGAATGATACAGGCAAAGAGGGTTGCTTATTGCGACTGGTACTGTATCACTTGACTGTGTTTTGTTGAGGGTGTGTTTCATTACGTGTAGCAGTCGGTAAAATATTATCACTGTCTTGGAAAAAGGTCTTTACGAACCACCATCATCCACTGCTATTCAGAATGGGATATATACCTATATAAGAGTTTTGTGTCACATGATGCAGCAACGAAGAATTGGCCTTGCTTCAACGCTTTGAAGCTTTCTGCAGTTTCAAGGAAAAGGGTTAATGTACAGATAGACAAAGGGCCCACGCTTCTGGGATGAGTTTGAACCACGATTTTGTTTGCTGAATGACAGGGTTTAGGGTAGGTTTAGGGTGTGGCATTGCAAAACATAGATGTACGCGGGCATTAGGCATATGGCATATGCATCAAACTTCATCTAGGCGTGCAGGTGCTGCAGGTGCACGGGTGCCTGTAGTCGCAACTTCTACTATGCGCCCAAGGCCACTGCCGAGTCCTCCAGCGGCGCGCCCACAGGCCAGGTATACGGTGTTTCAGAAATCACGCCGCTGGTTGTGTTTCAGAAACGCACGGAATTCTACTATTGGCATTCATCCAGAATTGTAGGACAATGATCCATGGTTCGAGGACACACCCTGCCCTACCAATATCCCAAGCCAGAGGAACTACTTGGAAGCATTCAGCTGCATATGTTTGGTCCTGGAGCGTTCATGCACCCAAATGAGGGGATGATGTGTCTCTTGAAGAGATTTGTGAACCGACACGAATAAAATTCAGGCTAGACGAAGTCCATGTGCAAGCATGCACATGTAGTCCACTGTAAAACCAGGTTTGTGTTAATCACAAGCCGGAGGTCCAGATGCACACGCGACAGAAACCCACACAAGCTTCTGGTTCCACTGCCAGTTCCAGGCGGTGAACCAGGGCGTCGCTCCACAAAGCCTTGTGCTCAAACAAGAAAGAGGTTACCTTCGACGAAACCCCGCCTTGCTCCTTCTTGCTCTTTTTCCTTGGGAAGCATGAGGCGACTGAATATATACAAAGGAATGATGAGAGGTCTACTGCCTTGCCATTTTTGCAGCTTGTTGGTGCAGCATGGTTTGCATGTTAAGACATTTCGCAAAAGTGAAAGCTGAGACCAACGACCTCAGACGGCCCTGGCCTCAATGCTATAAAGAAAGAAAAACAATGAGCGCAGTGCAGGTTTCATGCATTCACATTGTTTGAAGAGTATATGTGCTGGACATGATTGGATGCTCGCTTAAAAGCCCTCAACGGGCGCAGAATCAAAGAAACAATTTTGTATTGTGAGCGCAAACGACATGAATGGCAACCGATTGGCCACACCTTCGATTGTATCACTAGGTAAGTAACATACATCAGCTATTCATGCAGCTCTTTCCTAGAGCCCCAGTTTCCTGTCCAATGTGGAGCCGTTCCTGGTGAAAAAAAACTTAAAAGACTAGGAACCGAGCACCAAGCATAGTCTTAAAGACTCCGGAGGCCGCTAGGTATCAGATTAGACCCACTGACAGGTGGACCAGCTCTTGAGTGAGCCAGAGGTTCCCATCAGCACTCCTGCACAGCCCGCTCTGGGCCCAGACTGCTTGACAGGTCAAAGGGAGGACACAGTGGATCTCATCAGAACGGGATCGTCGCAAGCGTCTCATTGTGATGACGTTGATGTTTTGATGGGCATCGCATCGTCCCTTGTGGGCATCGCATTCGCAGCTCGAGGTCCAAGATGCAGTGGCTTCAGTCTTCAACAGTCTTTCTCAGGAGCTAAGCAGCTAATCCAACAAGTGTATGCATGGTAAGGTACAACTGCACGGCCGCCCCGTAAAGAAAACCAAAGGGTTTCAAACCAGTAATCATGCATTTGCGCCGGGCGGAACTATGCTTGCTCGTCGACCGCACAGAAATGCATCATTGTGTTCTTAATGAGTGCATACAAACAGGACGATAGATTAGTGCTAAGATGCAACCTTCCCAACTGACGTGGATGTCAGCAAGCACATCTTCTTTGAAGGCCATAGGCATGAAGAAACTAAACCCCCTCCTTCTCCTCAGCATTCAGCAAGACTGGTTGTGAACTGTCGAAGCTGGAGCTACTATGTTACGTACACACACACACACAAAGTTATAGTTGCATCGCCCAGGGCAAACCCAATTTGTTCAGCCAGATTATTGCAGGACAACATTCCGGAGAAGGTGGATCAGCTGCAACGTAGCGTCTGAGCCTTGAGTGGCAGAAATTCAAGAGCTGAAGCAGCTGAAGCTCAAATGCCACGGGCCATGAGATCGTTCGAAACTGCTTCCAGCCACGGGCCCCATGTACCAGGCGGCTGGAACTGCGTTGAAACGTCCAAGGTGACACAGAGCGACTATCGTTGGCTTTGCTACTACACGGTCAGCCGGCGTGCGACGAGGGAGGCGGGCCCGTTGAACCTGGAGTCGTTGAACAATGGAATACACGGACTTGGCAGCTTGGCAACTTAGACTCACATGGACAGACGGACTTGGACTTGAGTTTGGGTCTCGGAGTTATCCGGAACCCACACTTGGCATGAGTTCTTTTTTTTATTGGTCCAAAGATGGGCCAGCACCACGGGGTCTGTTGAGGCCAACTTCCACCAGAACTACATTGCATTCTTCAACGCTTGCAAAGACAGGAAGATCCTCTTTCATCAGGCGTGGAGACTCACCAAGGCGAGTCCTAGGAGTCAAGGGTGAGTCCTTCTATCGAGAAAGATTCAAGATCGTACAGTAAAGAAACATTCCATGTTTTTTTCCAAACAATTCTAGGAGCAAAGGACGCTACGAACGGGGCTCCTGGCCTTACTACTAGGAGCGATCGGACGCTACTAGGAACCAAATTAATAGTGCGAGCGCTTCTTCAAGGAAGAGCTTCCCGCCGGCGCCTTTAGGGCGGGAAGCTTCCGTGAAGAAGCGTGAGCTATCCTGGAGCTTACCTCCTTACTGAAATGAGTAGACGCCTACTTAATTAAGTAAGAACGGGCTAAAAACGATTCAAGATAGTGCAGTGCCCTTCAGAATCTACACCTCCACAAGTGCTTTGGATATCATATGATATCATCAATTGCAGTATATAATCATGACGAGCTTGTGAAGAAACGCACCACGAACCATGTCTGGCAGAACCTACCAAACCATCACAAAAAAGGACATGTGAGGTTGCACCTGCCCTGCATGGAAATATTGTTTAAACACTTAGCTCCATTTGCCTAGGACAAAAGCCGTCAATTGAGCTCTGATGTAAATACCTCATGCTGATCCTGTCGGTGGGAGGTGATTTCATCTCCTAAGTGAGAGGAGCCGAGATGCGTTGGAGCAGGCACTAGATTTCGGCTCACAGCACGAAGCATTAGGTTCCTTCAAACCAGAAAACATGGCCGCCAGCAAGGAGGAAGATGTGCAAATGATGTTGGTATCTCGACCAGACGATAGGGTTGTGGAATGGGAGGCCGCAGGTCAGATGCAAGACGCAGCTGACGAGAAATAGGTACGCACTTCAAATACATTGAGGTAGATTTGGCTGGTATCAGACAAGGTGATCAAGGTAATTGATCTCAGAATCCAAACCTCCATCAGTAGGCCCCAGATTCTGATCTTTCCTAGTGGCCTTGCTATGAGTTCACTTGAGGTTTGCAAGACTCACTTGGGAACAAGAAACGTGGACTATCGCATGAAGCGTATCCCAGCTGCAATAATCAGGCGTTACCTCGGATTGTTCTTGCTTTGACAGTTTCCTGAGCCACGGACCCTAGCATCGCCGACATAGGCGATTTGCAAGGAATGGGACGACGGAGAATAGGGTTGCTTGCATCAATCTACGACCTTGCACTTCTTGCTTTGCATACACAGGTCACGAAGCACATGGCAAAGCTTGATCTCATTCTTGGGTTGGAAAAGATAGTCCGCAGACCCTACAGCGCAGAATAGTTTATTTACCTCAGAGTGGAAGGGCAAACACCTACAAGTGTACTTGCGGAATGACAGGAGAGGTAGCAGGCGATGGAATTGAGAACCTTTGCTACAAAGCATCAAAGGAGCTTTGCCTGAGGCTACATCTTCCGCCGCACAGTGGAGGGAATCCACATCATTCACCTGGGGAAGGCCTGGGAGAAATTGATGGTGGCGGCAAGGATGACGCTTGGATGGCCAGGAAAACCGCATGAGCACAGGCAACATGAGGCTAAAGGGAGAATGTTCTTTGTGCTAAGCTGCTACACAGTGCATTCACTTACACACACCTTTTCCACATTGCTCTGAGCGTTGGGTGTATCACTGACGCAGCGGCCTTCCTGGTCATGACAGTCCACTGCCTGATGCTGGCCCGAAAATCTCCAAAAGAAAGACCAACCAAATCGATCAAGATACTAACTAAAAGTCGTGCGAAAAGGTCCACACAGCTAGACAGCAAGGTGGTGCATGGCTGAATGGCCAAGTCGAGGCAAACTTTGGAATCGCTTTGAGAGACCTCCATTTCCTGTCCCACAACCACCCCGTCTTTGTCGGACCTTGTTTGACAGGACTCCTGATCGGCTGTAGGTTCTGCAATATGTGCACAGTCAGTAAATTACTTTCTATTAGGACCCTAGAATGCCACCAATAGTTGACTTGGAAGCTTTTGATTGCTGAAACACACACACAACAAAAATAGATGGCTTTTGAGATGCATGCGAATCATGATGCATGCGAATCAATGGACTCAAGACTGAGGATTGTGGCAATTGAGAACCCTGGGGACATCATTGTGGCTTCCCAGTTCCTTGGAGATGCTTTCGTACCGTACCGGGTCACACAGGTATCCTTCGGTCGTACAGGTCACCCATCACCCGGCTTGACCCGCGTGAAACACCCGGTTTCGCCTTGGGTTCGGATGGATGTTCAGGTGTTGTAAGTAGCTAGTGTCATGTTCAAGTGTTGTAAGTAATTGTAAGTAGCTAGATTCATACTAAGACATCCTAATCAACATAGTGATCATGTTTGCCGATCTAAGATCTAAGGCAATTATGTCATCCAGCATGTGTAGTAGACAAGGCTCATGCAGCAGTGTATCGTGGAGGTTGAAGGTGGTCTTTGTGCAGGGGAAAAAGCAGCGTGCGCATAGCACAATGCACTTGGCCAATGGTTGGAGAAGTGATCAGGAGTCCAAGATGGCCCTACAATTTCAACTTCATGATGGGCAAACGATTCTACGTTGAAAACACATCTGACATCATCATCTGACATTCTTCACATTCTGAAAGTAGCATATCCTTTCACGACGCAACCACGCCCTAGGCGACCCTATGGCTCTCGTGCTGTGTTGAAGTTCTCCCAGCAGCTCGACAGAGAGATCAAAGAGCATTAGCAGCAGGGATTTGTCCAGAGATACCTGTGTGGAGTCTCGATTCTCTATCCAGAATGCGTTCAGAATGGCAGAAGACAGCATAGAATGCGTTCAGACAGACAGAAACCCGCCAGGTACACCGGCGCCAATCCCCTGGCCGGACGCTGGACGCCGGGAACGCTGACGAACCAGATCACGCTACTGAGCAGCGATGGTGTGATCCACCGGGCAGTTGCAGCTGAAATAATAGAGGTGAATCGTAGAATCAGTTAATCAAAAGAATCAGATCAGAGAAACGAGTCCTTCAGCAAAAGTGATCATTTGTGCCCATTTCATCCATACGACACAGGCTTTGATGAGACAACTCAGAATATCAACTTCTCCCTGGTTGCTCAACTGTTCAACCCTGCCTTCTCGACTCTAATTCAATGGAACAAAGGACTCGCTTGAAGTGGTGAAGCCGTTCATCCAACCCATCAAGTCACTTGAACACAGTCCGTTTCCGCGCACGTTCATCGCGCGCGTCTCGCGCTTCTTGAGGCAGAAGTACTTGGAGCCTCGTCTTCTGATCGTCACAGATCCACGGACCGATAGCCAAGCCATCAAGGAGGCCGGGGTTTGGCTCGGGTGGGGCGCCATCGGTGAAGAGAGGGCGATGCCGCCAACACTCCAGTTTCTGCCAGATGGCCCCAAACGGGGCCTCCATTATTGGCAAGCAACACGCATCAAAACAATAGCAGTACTCCAAATGTAGCCTGATCCATGATGCAGTGCAATCCAATCAGACATTTGGTGTTTTTCCTTTCACTGGTCAGGCCTCCTATGCGAGCATCCCTGTGATTGCTCTTTGTGATACAGACTCTCCGTTGGAGAATGTGGACGTGGCAATTCCGGCAAACAACAAGGGTTGGGCGCTCAAGGTGCAGACATCTTGGGGTGGAGTCGCACATCCCTTCCTTTCCAAGCGGTTTTAACCTATGATATGTTTGACTGCACATTATGGATTGGAGAACGGATCCACATAATCAACCAGCTCTTTGTGGTGCTACTGACTGTATCTGAAGCTGTTTCGGCTGTTCTACACTCGTGCAGGGGGTTTAAAGAGGAAGCTGCAAGCAGCTTAGTGGACGACTCGCCGGCCATCAGGACGTGAATGAAGACCATTTCCACACAAGTGAAGAAACATACCACTGTGCAGGGGCCATTCTGCGCCATTCTCCATGAAGGACACATGTGTGATCCTCCTCTCGCTATGTTGGCAAAAGACCTCCATTTAGTCAAGGGTGAGGGGCGGTTTCTCTTAGTCCAGGGCCTGCACTTTGGTCCACGATTAAAGCAGCGTGAGTCTTTGCTGTCTCGGACAAGCAAGCCAGTTTTTCCAATCTCTTGACACACATCCTCGTGGAAGATTGCCACATATTGCCCCTGACCATCCTCCAATCATAAGTGCTTGGGCCCAGGCAAGGAATCCATTGCTTTGCTGTACTGGATGCTGGCGCGTGAGGTCTGGGGTTGTTTTGGTCAATGGTCCATCCCCTAGCAACGTCGATCCGAGTAGAGCTTGGAGTAGAGCGAGGTGCATGAACGACGCAGACCAGTTTCAGAGTGGAACGTTTTGACAGCAAGTCAAGGCTAGTTTCGAAACGATGTAAATGATTTCATGACGCTTTCGTTTCGTTTCGTTTCTGACTGGTTAAAGGGGGTTGGGTGTCATGAGCTCAAAAAAGGGCGGCCTGATGGCATTCATGGGTGTGTCACAGCGACTTTGGTCGACCGATTTGGAATATATAAACCCATGTTGCTTTCAGAAATCACATGTCTAGCCACACTACATGCGCGAGACGAGCTGCTTGCATATCTTTGCTGGTGATGCCAGGTGTTGTACCTCCGAGGCACTTTGCCTCGCAATCAACCTTGGGTTCCTTAGCCTGAACTTTGACTGGGCGGGAACTCTTGTCCGTTTCTGAGGTTCTTTCTATTCTATCCTTCATTTTGAATGCACCTGCTTTGTTAGCAGAAACCTTTTTGGAGTGAAGAGGAGGACCGGGGAGGAGTTACTTTCCCCACAACACTCAAATTAATGCTTTGCCTGCTTTGCCTGCCGCTCAGGATGTGATGGTGGATTCATTCTTCTGGCGCGACCCTGAAGAGATCATGCAGCAGGCCAAAATCGGTGGAACAGTATGACTGTTTTTGTTTGTTTGGACCGGAAAAGAGATGGCAGCGCTTTGAGGAACAGTAGGTCCTGAGTCGGTGTACTGCACCTGGGCGGAGCACAGGAGGAGGTGCAGCAGGACTGGGGCCAGCAAGCAGCAGCACCGGCAGCTTGGGAAGGAGCTGGTGGAGGTGCTGGAGTGTGCGATGGCGCAGCTGTGGAAACCGATCGGCTAGGAAATAGATGGAGGTTCCAACAAACTTGTGAGTGAACACTCGGCCACCGGACCCTGGTGCAAGCTTCTCTCCCTGCTTCTCTCCGATGCTTGGAGGCGGCAACTGGGATGACATTACGCAGGCAGAAGAGCTGAGTTGTCACGGGTGTTCCCGCTCCCACCAGCATACTCTCATGTAAAAAAAAACAGCAAGCTGCGGACCGCAGGCCGCACAGGGCGACGGCTCCTGGGATGCCCCTGCTGCGGGTGGCGATGATTGGAGTGCGCCGGCCGGTGGCACTGGCTGGTAAGGAGCGCTTTGGAAGAGAACTGCGAACACCGAGCAAAACCAAGTCCTTTGGAGACAACATTGCTTGAATTCATGGAGAGGCCCTCAAGCTTTTGTTTGGTTTTGCTATGCAGATGCAGTCGGTTGAAGTGAGTTCGTTTGCAACGGCCCTTTTCCCCAGTAGAATGAGATTGGACCTTGCAGCTAAACTCCAGCGCAGGAGATGCTGTGAAGGAAATCGTGCAAGCAATGGCGACGGATGGTTTGTCTGTGACAAAAAGAATGGAGCACTAAGTTGGAGGGTCCAGTATGGAAGCCCGCATTTTTACCAAGAATGTCTAGGGGGCGGGGAATGTCAAAAAAGAGAAGGAGAGGCAAAACAGTTTACAGGTTGATGCGTTTTTTGCTCTAGGCTCTAGGTGGGTTTGCTAAGTTTTGAAGGAACCCTATGTTCTTCCACTTTGTTTACTTTCCTACTTGTCTCCATAATTCACATCTTTTATGGACTTCTTGTTCTACATTTGGATTCCTTTATGTTTCTCTACATTTCTCATTTTTGTTGTACCACAAACCATGACCTTCATTCTTCTGTTCTATACAATGCAGCCACTACAGTGCAAAGTTCAACCTTGTCTCCCTCTCCTCCACGAAGCCGCGGATCTGTGGCAAGAACGTGCCACACCTGTACGGTGGAACCCTCTCCAATTAACTTTTCCAGGAAGAAATACTGCAGAGTGCACATGCTTTTGCCTTCCTTTGCGCATAAACAAAGGGGTCGGCCTATATATTTCAAGCTGACCTGCCTTTGCTTTGTCAAGGATATCATTTTACAGCCTGGGGGCAGGTTCAGGTGAATGGTGGTGAAATCCGTCGCAGAGTCATCGGTACCACCGCTTTCGCCAGTATCGAACATGGGATTATCGAACCGCGCAGCTTATCATCATGACCTTCGAGTGCCTGCGGCTCATGATGAAGGCTGTCGATGAGGCCTGATATCCAAAGAAGCAAGATAGTGACTTTTCAGTCATGCCACAAGTCTTGGTGGTTTTGAGAGTTGTTGATGTTTGTACTATATTTTTTTGAGTGTGCTCTGGTTTGTTGGAATGGATGTTTGGTGGTTCCTATGCCCTGGTGCAAAGGTGCAGATGCACATGGATGTGCAGGAAATATAGTATGCATTATATAGTGATGATTTGTTCGTGAGCACGCAAGCTTAGGACTTCCCATTCATTGTACACCTAAGAGCTTGCAGGTACTACACTTTCTTTTATGCCTGACTCAAAAGCCCTCAACAAGATCTGAGGTTTTTTTGCTGAGAAAAATATGTATGTGGATGTCATCAATTAAATTCGTTGCTTTTGGAACAGATCTGCCCAGTCAGTACAGTTGGAGTACAGCTCACGGGGTGGTGCCAGCGGACAAATCGGTTGTTCCGACCTGCTCCGTTCATTCCGCTCCCGATGAAATCCAGGCTGTGAACTCATCGAATCACAGGACGGTGCTCAAGAGTTTAGGAACCTGGCTAGGCCGGGACTGGAACGTGAGGGCATTTTCTACAGACACCGACACCTCACTTTGTCAGCAGAAAATACCCTCCAAGTGACACATCCGCTTGATTTGCACCGCGTTCAAAACTTCAACCATTCACTGAGTATACTGCGCTGCATGAATTGAAGAAGTACAAACGGCCAACGGCAAAGTACAGACAGGGTGTGAGACCTCGATGTCATGTCTTCCTCTTTCTCTAGAGGTCTCAAGTTTTGAAAGAGTGCTGATTTCATCTTGAATAACTATACTTCATGGGGATGGTAAAGGCAGGCCAAAAAGGGCTAGTCACAGGACTTCCAAAGTGTCAGCAGCGATTTGGTAGGACATCATCTCAAAATGACTCTGCCACTGTACCAACGGGCTGTGACGGGTGCAGCGAGGCTTGCTGACTATCGGCCGTGATGTACCATTGAAGAGCCAGGGCCACGGGCAGGAGGCGTCAGTGTTGCCATCTAGTGATGTCAGATTGCTTTGATCTAGACGACGATGATTTGGAACACCAATTGGTATTCAGATGAATCTGAATCGATCAACCCTGCGTCAGTACCAACTTATGTCCACGATTCCCTTTAGGGCTCCCCACTCATTTTCTAGTGCTGAAGATCTTTGGACCGAAACCAAGTAGCTTTGGCCTGCCTTGGTTTCCAGTCATTTGGCCAATGTGAGGTAAGAGCATGGACATCAAGGATTTGCTGCTTGATGCTTACGAGCCAGCTGCCTACAAGCCTGACCAAACTAAGACATGGAACCTGTGGTGGGGTAGTTGTTGTCTCAATGGGAGCGACATCAAGGCTAGTTGTGGGGCTGACAAATGAGCTATTCAATGTCAATACCACACTGTTTTCTTACTCGTGGGCTCCACATTTTCAGAGATGTGTTTTCTCTCCCAACTCAAGCGTCTTGTAGTCAATTGTACCCAGGAACATGCGGCTGACTGCAGTGTTGCCACTGGCTTGCAAGGCGTCAACCTAGGATCGAAGCTTGGTCAATCCAGCTGCTTTTGCTTGCTTCTTGCTTGTGCAAAAGGCATGTACACTGTATATAATATACTACTCTTGTTTGGGTACATCCATGTAAATCCAAAAAATCATTAAGTATCAATAGAAAGGGGGAAACAAAAGATCTCGATTGTGTTTCTTTGTTGAGTTCTTGGACAAATAACTCTCCAAGTGAAGTCTGACATCTGCCTGCAGGTCCTAGAACCTGTGGAGAGGTCACGTGCGTGCAGCATCTCAGGAAGAGTGACTACCATTGCAACCACAGAAAATGGCGGTGGACTTGATTGTTTGCTCCATTTAACGCATGCACAGAGAGACGTACCTTTGGAAACACCAGGTTGAAGAGGTCTCATGACAGCGCTTGCTAGTCCCCCTACAAGAAGTGATCCTCATCGTTTCTTGGAAGATTCCGGATACCGCCTTGCGAGGGCTATATTGAAAACTTCATTCTAGATGCTCTACGATTACATGCAGAAAACTGTTCAATCGCGGCCAGCAGCAACAAGCACATTGCAGGCCAGTTGGTGACAAAATGAGGTCGGACACAGCGGAATGCGATTTGAATAGTATGAGAAGTAGAGTCTAGAGAGTTTCTCTGTAGGTTCAGATTGCCATCTCCTTGGACGATGGGCTTATTGTGGCTTGGAGTCGTGACACATCGTGAGCCGTTTGGAGGCAGGGTTTGGAGCCTTATTGCAGACGTTAGGCCTGGGTGAAGTTTGCAATCCGCAACCGTCATTGTCATACCTATATAGCTTGATTGTCTTAATATTGATGTCTAGTCAAGGAGAGCGGGCATACTTTTTGTAACAAGTAATGAGGCTCCTACATCTAGCAATATAGTCCTTGGCTAAGAAGACCTGGGCAGAACAAGATTATCACTTCCATTGTCCCAGTAAGACCACGCCCTCTGCATCCATTGTTTGCACGGTCTTAACTCAAATATATTATATATATATGCACAATATATACTGTAACAACACAGCGGAGTATGTTCGTGCATATTCAATTGACGCCCCCTCTTTGTTCAATCTGAAACAAGGGGTCAATTTTGAGAAGGCGGGCTTGAGTTGTTGTTAGCTGCCACCTAGCTCGACCAGTCCTGATCAATTGAACCAACTTATAGCACGGAATACAAGGGATGGAGCTGAGGACGCTGGTGGCTGAGATTCATGCTGCGTGGGCACCCGGAGAAGCTTCCCCATTTTGTTTTTGCTACCAACTATATGGAGGCTTTGTGGGCCTGGCCCTGCAAACAAAGTCGGCTCGCGGCCTTGACAGTTTGTTGGTGGCTTTTTCTGGCTGCGAAGCTAGATACCTCTTCGTATTTTATATCAACTGAAGCTGGAAACTGCTTTGGTCCATTGAATTTGAATGGTTGATGCACACATTCGTCTCTTTGGCCGTTGCCAAGAAGGAGGTTGTTTTCGTCCTGTCGACCTAAGCACTGCTTAGAGCTTTGGCAGCTGTATCAATGGATCAATGGCTTTATGGTCTCAATCTGAAAGACTTTCTCTTTCATCGCTACTAGGGTGGAGGCCATCGCTAATAGGGTGGAGGCCATCGCTACTAGGGTGGAGGCCATCGCTACTAGGGT